ATGCTTTGGGGCTGTTTTTCTGCTAAGGGTACAGGACGACTTCACCGCATTGAGGGGCAAATGGACAGGGCCATGTACTGTGCAACCTTGGACGAGAACAAGCCCGAACACTGAAGATGGGTCATGGATGGGTCTTCCAGCATGACAATGACCCGAAACATACCGCCAAGACAACAAAGGAGTGGCTCAAGAAGAAGCACATTAAGGTCATGGAGTGGCCTAGCCAGTCTCCAGACCTCAATCCTATAGAAAATCTGTGGAGGGAGTTGAAACTTCGAGTTGCCGAACGACAGCCAAGAAACCTTAAGGATTTAGAGAGGAGTGGATCAAAATCCCTCCTGAGATGTGTGTAAACCTGGTGACCAACTACAAGACACGTCTTACCTCTGTTCTTGCCAACAAGGGTTTCTGCACCAAGTACTAAGTCATGTTTTGCTTGGGGATCAAATACTTATTTCACTCACTGAAATGCAAATCAATTTCTAACCATTAATATAATGTGTTTTTTCTGGATTTTTTGGTTGGTATTCTGTCTCTATCCGTTAAAATAAACCTACCATAAAAATTACAGACCCTTCGTTTCTTTGTAAGTGGGCAAACTTACAAAATCAGCAGGGGATCAAATAAATATTTCCCCCACTTTATATCACTTCTACGACCAAAGATTGCTTTATAAATAATCTTCCTTGTCTCAACTCCACAACATGCCAGATAGCTGAAGACACTGACTCTGATAGAAGAACTGCTCACTGATGATGTCGAACCACCTTCAGTTTCGAAACATTCAGAATGTTTTTATGTTTCATTTGTGTTTTGCTGTGTTTATTAATTCTGAATGAATCTGTATATATCTATATGCAGTCAGGTCACTGTAGCTACAGTATAGTGGTCTGTGGGCATCTCCATGTGTTCCTGTTTGATATTGAAGCTTTTTTTCTTAAACATTTTCTTTTAGCATTAAATCATACTGGGATGTTTGCTAAAATTTTTCCACCAGCCAACAATGGTTATTGCATTAAAATATGAGCGACTACATATGTGTCAGTGTCACGACAAAGGCTATGCATAAAAAGGTTTTGAATTTATTTGATCTTATATTTTAAAGTGAAACCAACAGACAAACACCTTTAACAATAATTAATGCCACATTTAGCTTGGCCGTTCTTTAAATACATTCAACTATATTCTGTATAGCAGGCTTTGTCACTGTATAAATGACACTAACCTGTATGATAAATAACTGCTTTGATGGCACATCAGTATTTTTCTCCATTATCGCCCCCGAACAAACATACAGTAGGTAAAGTACATGCGGGAAGGAGTGTGAAAAAGTTAAAGTGAAACTATCCTAAAATAGAAATACAACCTTAAAATGAGTTACAAATGCTTATGCATCTGAAGGATCCAACAATGATAATACTGTGTCCAAAATGTCACTTAATATTAACTTCTTAAAATTGTATAAAATCAATATCACATTTGTAATGCTGATATTGTAACATGGAGAGCGTGACAACAGAGTTGGGCATCCAAATACAAGGCTTTATTAACAGACGTGGTCAAAACAGGCAGGGTCGAGCACCAGAAAACAGTATAATCCAAGGCAGAGGCAAAAGAGTAATCCACAAACAGGCGATGGTCAGGGCAGGCAGCAATCAATCAAAAAGCAAGGAAACAGTCCAAAGATCAAAACACAGGTAAACTAGGAAACATGGAAATGAAAACTCGGAAACTAGGAACAAGGAAATGACTATACAATAATCAGCAATCTTGGAGTGAGTGAGAGCATCTTTTATACTAGACCAGGAGACCACATGATAAAATCCACCAATGAGAACAAGACACATGCAACCAGGGAACCAACCAGAACATGACACATGCAACCAAGGAACCAATCAGAACATAACACACAGACAAGGGTAGCACATGACAAGATCACATGAGGGGCAAGGGACACATGGGAAATGGAGTCCAGAAAACAATGGCAAGAGTCCGGAGTGGAGTGCCCTCTAATGGAGCAGAGCAGGCGGAGCAGAGAGCCAAGGCAGAGCAGGAAGCCAGGGCGGAGCTGAAGAGCACCAGGGCGGAGCGGGCGGAGCTGAAGAGCACCACAGCTGAGCAGATGGGTCCGAAGATCCCCATGGTGGAGCAGACCACCACCAGGGCTGAGCAGAGGAGAGCAAAGATCCCCACAGCAGCGCAGATGACCACCAACGTAGAGCTAACGAGGCAGGTGACCACCAAGGTGGATCAGGCATGACTGGAACAGAGAGCACAGAGAGGTTAACAACGGCCTCTGCGGCCGAGACAGAACAGGCTTAGAGTTCACAGAAGGCCTCCTTGACCGTAACAGGACAGACAGAGAGTTCATAGACGGTCTCCTTGACCATAACATGACAGGCAGAGAGTTCAGAAGCGGACACCGCTGACTCGGGAGGTTCTGCAGCGGAAGCTGCCACCTCGGGAAGAGCTGGAGTGGACTCATGGACTGGAGTGGGCTCTGGATTAGATTCGAGGACTGGAGCAGGCTCTGGAGCAGACTCATGGACTGGAGCGGATTCTGGAGCGGATTCATTGACTGGAGCAGATTCAGGAGTAGATTCACAGACTGGAGCGGGAACAGAGCAATGTGTAGCCCAAACACACAGAATGGCGAACGCCATTACAGGAAGCACTGAGGATAGAGGAACAGTCTCTGTGACGACCAGTGCTGAAGCTCTTGGGATGCCCGTTGCATGCACCGACATCAATGGTGGGTCCGGTCCGCCAGACTTGACACCAGCCTAAAACACCCTTGGAAAGCCTTAGTGTCTTCAAACTAAACATTCACGATGCTCGAGAACACTGGAGTGGCATCTGTGATGGCTGAAGACTGTGGCTTGACATCCATAACGACTGGAGGCTCTGGGCTGGCGGCCATCTTGTGAAGTGACTCTGAGCAGGTGGCCATCATGTGAAGTGGCTCTGGGTTGGTGGCCATCTTGGGAAGAGACTCTGGGTAGGCGGCCATCTTGTGACAAGACTCTGAACTGGCAGCCATCTTGGGACGAGACTCTGAGCTGGCAGCCATCTTGGGACGAGACTCTGAGCTGGCAGCCATCTTGGGACAAGACTCTGAACTGGCAGCCATCTTGGGAAGAGACTCTGAAATGCCGGCCATCTTGAGACAAGACTCTGGAACGGCGGCCATCTTGGGACGAGACTCTGGAACGGCGGGCGGTACGAGACTCGAACCCGCAACCTTTGGGTTATGAGTCCGACCCTCTAACCATTAGGCCACGACTTCCATGTGGCAGCCATTTTGTGAAGAGGCTCTGGACCTGAGAGTGCTGAAAACACAAGGAGTGCCCCCCCCCCCAAAAAAAAAATCTTTGGGGTTTCAACACAGTCCTCTGCTTCACCTAGAGTGAAAGGAGAGGCACATAATAACAGATCATCATCCATTAAGTCTCTTAGAGAGCATTTAACTTCCCCTCTAGGTAGCCACAATTTAGTTGGCTCATTAAGTCCAAAATGGAACAAGTCCTCAAACAAAACTTCATCATAAAGCGGTACTTGATATGACAACTAACAGAATCGATTAACATATTCCTCAATAGATAGGCCTCCTTGCCAAAGGTGCAGTAGCTGGTCGACTGGGTCCATGGTTGGTCTGGGTTGTTGAATAAAGCCGCTGGATCCGGGTATGGCTGATTATTCTGTAACGTGGAGAGCGTGACAACAGAGTTGGGGATCCAAATGCAAGGCTTTATTAACAGACGTGGTCAAAACAGGCAGGGTCGAGCACCAGCAAACAGTATAATCCAAGGCAGAGGCAAAAGAGTAATCCACAAACAGGCGATGGTCAGGGCAGGCAGTAATCAATCAAAAAACAAGGAAACAGTGCAAAGATCAAAACACAGGTAAACTAGGAAACACAGAAAGGAAAACTCGGAAACTAGGAACAAGGAAATGGCTATACAATAATCAGCAATCTTGGAGTGAGTGAGAGCATCTTTTATACTAGACCAGGAGACCACATGACAAAACCAACCAATGAGAACAAGACACATGCAACCAAGCAACCAATCAGAACATAACATACAGACAAGGGTAGCACGTGACAAGATCACATGAGGGGCAAGGGACACATGGGAAATGGAGTCCAGAAAACAATGACAAGAGTCCAGAGTGGAGTGCCCTCTAATGGAGTTCATAGGCAATCCAGCTGGTGATCGTAACAGATATTCAGGAAAACAGCATTAAAAAAAATATAAAAAACAAGAACTTTGTGAATTATAGCTCATATCTGAAATGTGCTTTATTGCAATATCTGTTGACTAACTTTGATTGAGTGGTCTGTAATAACAAGCTGCATGCCCCACTGTGCTATGATCCGGAGTTTCATCTGGTCCCTTTTATCAGCTGCGGATGTTAAAAATAATGTAAATATTACAAATAACTAGTTTGTCATAAACTACAAAGGTAAAGCAGAGAGTTGTATGAACAATCATGAATTAAAAATGTATTTTTTTTTTGTATTTCTATTGCATGTCCAGTTTTAATTCAACAAAACATCTGGAATAAATGCATAAACTGCATAAATGAAATAAAAAAAAAAAATCTAAGAATTAAATATCCACAAATGTTCAGCTATAGTATTTACTGAATTCAAAAATGAAAAACATAATTTATCAGGGAGTTTCCATCCATTTATTTGAATATATCATATAACTCACTGTACAGATGAAAAAAATAAAAAATAAATACAAATCATTAAATCTCCATAGATGCTCAGCTATAGTATTTACTGAATTCAAAAATGAAAAATGTATCATGGAGCTTCCATCAATTTATTTGAATATATAATATAACTCACTGTATATGAAAAAAACAAACAAATTAAATCTCCACAGATGTTCAGCTTTAGTACATTGAATTTAAAAATGAGGAAAATGGAAAAACATAACTTATCATGGAGCTTGCACTTGCAATATGTCTATATCGGCAGAATGTCTGGATCATTTATTTAGTAGTTTTACTAATGTACATGATAAAAAGTAGGCCATATAAATAATTGGAAAGCCAATTCTAATTCCCGGATAGAGAGGCTGAGTGAATGTGGTCTGGACTCTGTGGAGGAGGGTTATTGTGTCAGAGATGCTGTAGAAAGACAGAATTCCTGCGCTTTGATCCACATACACTATTCTAGAGCAACCAGGCTCTGTAAGGAGTTTCGTTTGTTTGTTATTGTGACAGAATAGGTAACCGGAGATAGTGCGGTCCAAGCTCCAGGATTCAGCGTTATATCCAAATTTACACTCATCACCCCGTCCCTTCCTTCTGATGCTCTCGTATGACACTGATACACCCACATCATGAGTCCCATCCCACTCCACCTCCCAGTAACAGCGTCCACATATACTCTCAGCACACAACACCTGCCACCAATAATCAAACCTGCCTGGATGATCAGGATAGCGCTGATCTACGTTAGTGTTGGCAATCACTCTGTTCTTCTTAGACAGCTGGAGGTGTTTATGCACTGTGTTTAGATCCACATTGAAACGACAGAAATCTGATGGAGACAAAATACATTATATTACTTTTAACTGTTAGTGTGACGACTGTTGATTTCCACAAGGAGATGTATTTATACAAATTTGTAAAAAGTAAATACAACCCAGTATAAACTGAAACGATACAGCTAAATTTAGGGGTCACGATAATTTTTTTTGCAGCTATTAAGACCTAATTAAACTATTCTATACATAACATTGTGTTATTTGCTAAAAACAAAGTCTGTTTGAGTGTAACAAATAGAAATTAAGTCCTTATTACAGTAGAGAATGAATCAAAGCTGTAACTAGTTAAAGGAATGATTCTGGGAGCTCTAGGTCCAAGGGGGCCCACAACAAAATTAAAAGGGCCAGATCAATATATGGAGGACATGAATTATTATCAACAGCCATGAGAGTGTCCTCTGGGGTATTAGAACATTTTGATTATTAGTTCTGTATTATAAGAGTTAAAAGAGTTTATGCAAATGATCTGAAACCAATGTTATTAGTTAAATATCTACTATTAGGTGTACAGTATGTAATGACTATATTGCAAAAATAGCCTGAAAATAGCCTTTGGCTAATTCTGGTACATTTACAGAAATTTTTTATTAATGTACAATGTCCCTGTAAACTAAACAAATAATAATAATAATAATAAAAATATGAATATTTAGCCCTTTATAGGCTAATAAACCAATTTTAAACTTCAGAAGTTTGTGTAAACTAAAAAACACGATCAACAGAAAATTATATGAAAGTTAGCATTTCATGTACAGTTTAGAAACACATATAAAATGAAAAATAGATTGATATGTGAAAAAGCGTAATTAGAAGTTGAACTCTTTTTTTTATTTTACAGTATGTGCACTTACCTGAACTTACAGTGTATTTACCTAAGAAAGTACTGATAATATAAGGTAACATGAGTTGGTTAGGTTTAGGGGTAGGTTCAAGGTTAGTACTTAACCAGATATTGTAATTACTAAAAAGTACTAACAAGTACATAGTATGTACATGCAGAACAGGACTGTAAAATAAAGTCCCATGACAAATTTTTATACATGAAGGTATACAACTTGGCTATGGGTTACATGCAAAAAAGCTGAAATTGTCATCTCTTGTTTTCTCTGTGTGTTTGTCTGTGTTCATGTTTTCCTAGTAACTTACACTCCAGGAGCTCTTTTCTGCTCTCAAATTCAGCGTTGGCAACAGACTGAATGCATCTCCCTGTGGAAATCAACAGATCTCTTAAGTGTAAAATAACTGAATCCACTGTATATCAGTTCCATATTTATTTTAATGCATATATTTTCATATTATCCTGTATTTCATTGTTTAAATAAGAACAAATATGTTTCCAGTACTTCTCCAGTCTCAGTTACCTCTTCCAGACATCTTTTCAATCTCCTTTCTGCAGAAATGATCCAGTTTCTGTCTCAGTTGAGAGACAGATTCTCTTACATCGTCATAGGAACTGACAGTGATGCTGAAAATGTCTAGAGAGTCAGGAGGATCATACAGAAACGGAAATCTCTACACAGACACAATGACAAACAACAGTAAAAGAATGAGAAAGATACAGAACCATGTCACAGAAAATAAATACTGTTCAGTAAAGTCAGTAAACCCTCTCTGTACCCAGAGGAACTGGGTGTCATCGTCTGTGTGTGAAAGCTGCTCCAGCTCAGAGTTTCTCTTCCTCAGTTCATCAATCTCCTGCTCCAGTCGCTCCATGAGTCCTTCAGCTTGACACACTACAGCCTTTTCTCTGTCTCTGATCATCTGTGTGACCTCAGAACATCTTCTCTCAATGGAGCTGATGAGTTCAGTAAAGATCCTCTCACTGTCCTCCACTGCTGTCTGTGCAGAGCGCTGTAGGACACACATTACAATCAGCTCTTACTGCTGCTCACACAGTCTGCTGTGGGACTGAAAATCACCCTCAATAACCAACTGAAGAAGAGTCTGAAACCAGCACTACTGCTTCTTCTTCTTCTTCTTCAAAACTCACCTTCTGAGACTCCACAGCCTCTTTCAGCTCCCAAAGCTTCATCTCCCTCTCCTGGATTTGCTGCTTAAATTTTCCCTGTGTCTCATCCAATTGTTTCTGTTGGGCAAAACAAAGTAAATCACATACATTTATAATTAGTGAAACTAAAGGTAACAAAAGGTTTTTGAGTGAATTCAGCCTTTGTGTTTTCATGTCAGAAAACTGGATGGATTGCATTCTTAACCACACTATGATGAACCACACCAAAACCAACTATAAACACTAGTACCCAGGGCAGTTTCTAATTATTACTGTATATAGCTGTTCAGTTTTTTCTTTTTATATTAGGCCCTGTCCACACGAACGCGGTTATTTTGAAAACCGCAGCTTTTTCTACGCGGTTTGGCCGTTCGTCCACGTGCAAACGCAGCACCAGGTCACTGAAACCGAAAATTTTTGAAAACGCCTGCCAGGGTGAAGATTTTCAAAAAATCTGGTTTCAGTGTTATCGCGTAGACAGCGAAACCTGAGTTTTTGGCTTGTGACGTCGGCGCCTGCGCTGTTATCTCCGCCTACTGGAAACTTTTTCAGGCTTCTGATTGGCCAACATGGCTTTACGGTTGAGATTATATCGCCACCTGTTGGCTTGGCATGCTCTTGACAGTGCTTCATAGCATGCGTTTGCGTTTTCATGTGGACGGAGATTTTTTAAAAAACGGAAGAAGTTTTTAAATTCCATTTATAAAATTACCCGTGTACGTGTGGACATGGCCTTAGTTTGCTCCAGTTTAGTTCTAAGTCATTTTCATTTGTAAAACTCATACAGTTGCAAACTGTTTAAAATGCATTTTAAGGTAGTCAGTAACAAGTTATTATTTAGCATGTCAGTGTCTTTCAGTCTGTACCTGTTTCTCGGTCCTCCCTGCTGCAGTTGATACAGTCTCATGATTTATGTGTTTTTCCACCACACAGAACACACAAATACACTGCTGGTCAGTGCGGCAGTAAATCTCTAGCGGTTTACCATGTTGACGACACATCATCTTCTGAGGTTGTCCAGTGGCGTTCATCAAGTTATGTCTATTACCTTTTAAGAGATTCTCATGTTGTTCAACAGGAACAATAGTTTGAATTATCATCTTTGGTTTCTCCAGCACTTCAGCCAGCATGGTGCTTTTATTTAAAGCAGGTCTTGGTCTGAAGGTCTTTCTGCATTGAGGGCAGCTGTAGACTCTCTTCTGATCCTCTTGATTCCAGTGGTCTGTAATGCAGCTCATACAGTAACTGTGTCCACAGGGAATAGTCACTAGATCTTTCAGTAGATCCAGACACAATGGACAGCTGAACTGGTCCTGAGAAAATCCGGCTTCAGCCATTTCAGTGCATGCACTTTCAGATAGACAGAGACAAAACAAGCTGAACAGCACTAATGTTTTCCTTTTCCTGAACTGGAGTGTTTGAATATATTCTTGGTTCTGTGTTTAAGAGACGTGTGCAAAAGAGGTGTGTAAGTAGACTTGTTTTTCTTGTATGATATTTCATAATGCAACCATCCAATAATACAAACTTAAGTGTTACTGGTTTGCCTCCAAGTGTGATTGAGACAATTCAGAATGCAAGAGTGGCTTCAACACTCTCTGCATATGATGGAAAATGCGATGTGTTTGAGCGATGGTGCACAGACACATTCTTCCTTTACTCTGTTCTGTTGTACAAACTTTTAGCTAAAGGCTGAGCCCTTTCTACCATTAAGGTTCATCTTGTTGCAATTTCTGTGTGCCATGTGGGGACAATAATATTAAGGGTAAAAGGGGTCATGAACTGAGAAACCAAAATTCCCTTGATCTTTTGACATAATATTATAGGAGGTCATTGTGCCCTAAAAACATCCTGTAAGTTTCAGAACTCAAAACTTTGTAGCTGGTCTAAAAACAGCTTATATTGAAGGCAGTCTACCAAAACGACAGCTTGTGGAATGTTTTACTCTATGATGTAATAGTGTGGATAAGCACCGCCTCCGCAGAAGAAGATCAACGCCTGCTTCTACATCACTGCCTGTTTAGCCCCGCCCACCGATTCACACATGTAGTGTTTACGAGAGAGGCGAATGCACAGGTCTACGCAGAAGCCAAATGATAAAGATGCTCTAAAGACAACAAGATGCTGTGCAGTGCCAAGTTGTGGAAAAACGTCTTTGCATTGCCTTCCTTCTGATCCCAATGTTAGGAAAGAGTGGATGAACTTTATTTTTAATGAAGATCGAGACCGCGTCAGTAATAACTCGGTCCTTTTTTCACTTCATTTTACTATGGATTCGTTTACAAACAAGGCATAATTCGAAGTGGGATTTTCAAAAAGATTGAAACTAAAAGACTATGCTGTGCCGACTATATTGGAGTGTGAGTAACTGTTTTTATTACTGGGTCACTATTGCTTTGTCTCTTCTTACAGATCGTTTGATATGTAACTTATTGAGTTATTTATGCATTTTTTACCTAAATCACACCAGTGTCCGCCTATGAAGAAAGTACGCTACATTATTAGTGGACGTCAGAGAACAGTACAAAATAAAAAACAAAGGCAGTTCATGACCCCGTAAAACACTCACCCACACGCTAGTTTATGAGAGGTGTGTGACATCTGAACAGGGTTTCAAAGCTGATTCCACAGTGGGATATATCTGTGGTTCTTAACTGTAAACGCACTGTCTCAGCCCCTTTTGAACTTATAGGCAGTATTAAAGCTACTTTTGCTAAAGGCTACCTGAAAGGCTACTGGCTGTTTTCTGGACCGAAGAACCCCACAGTGGAGGAGAAGACCACCACAGCAGATCAGACGGGACTGAAGATCGCCATGGCAGAGCAGATGGAGTTAAGGTCCACCACGGAGTATTTAGGCTGGAGACCAAGATGGCTCAGGCAGAGCAGGTGGAGCAGTAAACCAACACGGTGGGTCAGGCGGAACTGCAACACAGAGAGGTTAGAAACGGCCTCTATGGCAGTAACAGGACAGACAGAGTGTTCAAGGATGACCTCCATGGTCACTAAAAACTGCCAAACTGGAAATCAGCCTCAAACCCTTAAGGACTGCCATGGTAGCTTCATGTGTAATGTTCATGATGGCTGGAAACTGGTGTGGCATCCATGACGGCTGAAGTCTCTGACGTGGTGTCCATTACGGCTGGAGACTCTGGCATGGTGGCCATGACCGGACGAGACTCTGGACTTGGGACCACTGGACACAGAAACACAGAGCACCGGAGTTGAGACCATGAGACTTAGAAGTGCTGGAATCCGAGGTTGACTGTGCTCCACGGCCACCAGGAGCAGGAAAAGAGATTGTCATGTAAGATTATAAACACCAAATGTCAAAATAAGTAAAAAGGAAAAAATATATATATATATTTTAACAGGCCAAACGATAAGGGCTATTGTGGGCCCCGACTTGTCTGCACATGTCAAATGTCCAAGTTTTATGGAGGCTTTCCATAGACATAATTCAATTAAATTCACGTTTATTTGTATTACACTTTTCACGTTATAAAGCAGCTTCACAGACAATTAAAGTTCTACATTATATTTAGAAACTTTTATATTTATATTTACATTATATTAATACATTTGATACTGTATCACCCTCTAAACCTACCCATCAAAGTAAACTTCTGCATTTATATTTTTCATAAACATAATTTACTATAATTTATAATTTAAAAAGCTGTTATGTTCATGGGTACAAATTTTGCTCGGGGCAATGATTTGAAGTATTACTACACAACAAGGGAACCACATTTGACATGTCCAGACTTGTCGGGGCCCACAATAGCCCTTATCATTTGGCCTGTTAAAATATATATATATATATTTTTCCTTTTTACTTATTTTAACATTTGGTGTTTATAATCTTACATGACAATATCTTTTCCCGCTCCTGGAAAAATGTACAACACTTTAATATTTTTAGCGACGCCTAAAACTAGTGTAAATGTTTTTATTGTTTTATTCCAAATTCATTATTAGTCATGTTACATATTTTATTTAAATCCTTTTTATACAGTCATCAGATTATATGTGATAGACCCTTATGTTCTGTTAAAATTGGTTACTTATTTCGATATTGTCCATCATTACATCCTTCTTTTTCTCGCTTCCCAGAGAGAGAGAGAGAGCATAACACTGCATGCAATGGAATGCGGCCTGTCATGTGGACGTCAGATGGTGGCCCCCGGATGCGGAAGTTTAAAACGGACCATTAAAAGTTCAAAAACAAGCTTTAGCACTTCATTTATGTCCTGACACCGGGACAGAGTTCAACAACCATCAATCTTCATATTGTACACTACATTGTAAATAATTTAAAGGTCATCGGTCATCGCTGGAATTCCACATATGCCGATTTCCACATCTGGATATCATTAACAGGTCACGAGTAGGGTTGGGTATCGTTTGAATTTTATCAATTCCGATTCCGATTGCGATTCTTTTCGATTTCCAGTTTCGATTCTATTATGATTAAATAATGATATCAAACATTTATCCAGTGTCTCTTTTTTATTTATTTCATTTATTGGAGCTGAATACCATAAACAAAAACCAACAGGATACATAAAAAATTGACTCTTTAAGAGCTGTTTGTGTGCAAAATAGAACTGCATGATTCTGGATAAATGTAGTTTTTTTTTTGTTTTTTTTTTTCCAATGGAGGTTGTGGTTTTCTCATGATTCTGAAGAAAAAACATTAGACAACTAAACAAAATCACATGTAATTTATGAATAAATGATTCAATGACAATGATTTTCATTACCGGATGAATCAGATGGAACGAATCTCTTTTATGATTCAAAGACAAATACATTTTAACAGCCCCTTTTCGCCACCTACTGGCGTAACAATGCAATCGACAAATCTTCATTTGAAGTGTCAAATTACTTTTAAAAGGTGATTTACTCTATTTAAATCGCTACCGTACCCATCAGAGTTTATATCTGAACTATACACTTTTATCCCAGTACTTCTGTGATTTGAATGTTTGTAACACAGAAATAATGATACTGTGTGGTTGAAAAGACCGTGAAGCTGTTTCATTCATGACAGTTGACAGCTGCTGTCTTTAGGTCAACGGCAGTGCAAACGCAAATTTAAAGGGGTGGTTGATTGCGATTTCAATTTTTTAACGTTAGTTAGTGTGTAATGTTGCTGTTTGAGCATAAACAATATCTGCAAAGTTACGACAATGCAAACGTTAATTAATGCATTAACTAATGTTAACAAATGAGACCTTATTGTAAAGTGTTAGCCCTCAGAGTATTATAAAATTACGAAACTAAGCATGTTTCCTCACAATTACTTGTTCTCCATATGTAACTTTTTTAAAGGGGTGGTTCATTGCGATTTCACTTTTTTAACGTTAGTTAGTGTGTAATGTTGCTGTTTGGGGATAAACAATATCTGCAAAGTTACGACAATGCAAACGGAGATATGTCATTTAAAATTCTGGCAGTTTAATGCCTACAAAAACGGCTGGTAGGGACTACAACAAGTTACTTCCCAGGTTCGTTACGCCACAAACCCAGATAAACCCCGCCCCCGGGAACATGTAGCAAAGGGGGCGAGTCCATGCTGTGCTGCTTTAGAGAAGAGGAAGAGAAAACTAGAGGTGCACATAAAAATCTATTCATATATGAATCTGTCTTCTGTATTCTAACGTTTCTAATGGATTCACAAGTTTCAAAATCAATGTTCTAAAGCAGCGGTTCTTAATACTGTTCCTCGCGTCTCCTGCTCCTCTCTCTCTCTCTCTCTCTCTCTCTCTCATTCAGCTCAGCTCCAACAATGAACTGTTCCAATTATACACTTATTTTCACATAGTTATGAGAAGCGTTAAACATGGACGGGCGTGCAGTTGCTGTACTGTATTAAAGCTTTAATCAGGATAAAACTGTATATTAAAAGCTAACATAAGCAGTAGCATTTTCAAATAACAGCGTATTTAAAAGTATGAGATAACAACAGACAAAAAACATAGGCCTACCATTAAAAGCAGTGCTTGCACAGGTTCTGCACAATCCTCTTCAATAATATCCTCTGCTTCTCAATCGAGCTCAAACTGATAAGCGATATTAACGACACCGTTGTTTACAATACAACCGGAGCACATGCCGCTGAGGTGAGGGGCGGGACGCTTAGACGCGCACTAGAGGCGGTTTAGCCAATCACAACACACTGGGCTAGCTAACCAATCAGAGCCCATCACCTATTTCTGAGGGAGGGGCTTCATAAAAGAAGGAAATGATCAGCACGTGTTCAAAACATTTTGACTGGTAGTGTATGTATGTAGCCTATGTATCACACTCATATCACATCTTGTTTTGGAT